AAGACCCATTGGACCATGGAAGCTCCTCCCCTGACCCCATAACTCATGCAAGGTCCTCCCCATCTCCATGACCCATGCAAGGGGCTTGAGATGTCCTCAAGACCCATTGGACCACGAGAGGTCCTCTCCTTGACCCCATAACTTCTTCATCCTCTCCCCACCCCTCCCCCCAGTGTGTGACGCCTCAGCCACGCCCATCTCACCGGAGGTCCAGGTCCTCCACACCACCTCCTGCACCCCCAGCACGGCCAAGGAATCGGTGGAGCTCCTCTGCCTCGTTTCCGGCTTCTCCCCGGCCACCGTGGAAGTGGAATGGTTGGTGGACGGTGAGGCGGGTCTTCTGACGGCCAATCAGATGTCACCACGACGGGAGGAAGGTGCCACCACCTACTCGGTCACCAGCCGTACCAACGTCAGCCGCGTGGAGTGGTTGGAGGGGAAGACCTTCACCTGCCGGGTCAAACATCCCGCCTCCGGCGCCGTCGTGCAGGACCACACCCGCTTCTGCTCAGGTGAGGACGTGGGCGGGGCGGGGTCAACCCAGGGGAGGAGGTGGCACCACTGGAGAAGGTTGGATTGACCATGGTGGTCTTCACCACTGGAGAAGGTTGGATGACCATGGTGGGTGGCACCAGTGGAGAAGGTTGGATGACCATGGTAGGCTTCAGCAGTGGAGAAGGTTGGATGACCATGGTGGTCTTCACCAGTGGAGAAGGTTGGATGACCATGGTAGGTCTCAATAGTGGAGAAGATTGCATGACCATGGTGGTCTTCACCACTGGAGAAGGTTGGATGACCATGGTGGGTGTCACCACTGGAGAAGGTTGGATGACCGTGGTGGTCTTCACCACTGGAGAAGGTTGCAGGACCATGGTAGGTCTCACTAGTGGAGAAGGTTGGATGACTATGGTGGGTGTCACTAGTGGAGAAGGTTGCAGGACCATGGTGGTCTTCACCAGTGGAGAAGGTTGGATGACCATGGTAGGTCTCAATAGTGGAGAAGATTGCATGACCATGGTGGTCTTCACCACTGGAGAAGGTTGGATGACCATGGTGGGTGTCACCACTGGAGAATGTTGCATGACCATGGTGGGTCTCAGCAGTGGAGAAGGTTGAATGACCATGGTGGTTTTCACCACTGGAGAAGGTTGGATGACCATGGGGTCTCAGCAGTGGAGAAGGTTGAATGACCATGGTGGTTTTCACCACCGGAGAAGGTTGGATGACCGTGATGTGTTGCAGGACATTGCACGGCCACGGTGTGTGTCACCAGCGGAGAAGGTTGGCTGACCGTGGTGGTCACCTTCCTCATCTCCTCGCTCCTCCCTCCCAGGCCTGGTCAACCGCAACGTCAACAACATCATCCTCTACGTCCTCCCACCCAACGTGGCCGACCTCTACATCACCCGCGGAGAAGGTTGGATGACCGTGATGTGTTGCAGGACATTGCACGGCCACGGTGTGTGTCACCAGCGGAGAAGGTTGGCTGACCGTGGTGGTCACCTTCCTCATCTCCTCGCTCCTCCCTCCCAGGCCTGGTCAACCGCAACGTCAACAACATCATCCTCTACGTCCTCCCACCCAACGTGGCCGACCTCTACATCACCCGCAAACCCAAGGTCCGCTGTTTGGCCACCAACCTTCCCAGCGATTCCGGGTTCCAACTCTTCTGGTTGAAGGAGACCCCAGGTGTCCTCAACCCGGACTTCTTGGAGCTTCAAGAACAATTCAACGGGACCTTCACGGCCACCAGTTCCTTGGTCATCTCCACCCAAGACTGGGAAGCTGGAGAACGTTTCACCTGTATGGTGAAACACGATGATCTCCAGTTGCCCCTCAACAAGAGCATCTCCAGACGGTTAGGTGAGTTGTCTTCTTCTTCCACCCACCCACCCACTCCTCACCTCACCCAAAACTTTGGGTCAACCAACTTCTCCTTCTAGGCAAGGTTTCTCCACCTCTCATCTTCATCCTCCCACCCCACCCCGAGGAGATGACCCAAACGAAGGTCACCCTCACCTGTTTGGTTTACGGTTTCCAACCCGAGAACCTCCAAGTCCAATGGTTGAAGAACCACGAGAACGTTCCTCAAGAGGACTACGTCACCACCCCACCCCTCAAAGATGGTCCTAAGGAGACCACCTTCTTCGTCTACAGCAAGATGATGGTCCTCAAGACCAGCTGGTTGAGCGGGGACATCTACAGCTGCATGGTGGTTCATGAAGGGTTGCCCATGAAGTTCACCCAACGTCAAGCACAGAAGGGACCCGGTAATTAAGGGGCGGGGAGACATCTTCATGGCCATCCCACCGCTTTGTAGATGACCTCTGTGGCCAATGATCTTCCAAGCACCAATAAAGCCAAGCGGTGTCATCTGGCATCACCAGATCTCCCCGGTGTCTTTGGGCAATGGTGGGAAGAGGTTGGGTCAACCAGGAGGGCGGAGATGGGACAAGTAGGAAGAGGTTGGAGACGGTTCCAGGTTGGAGAACCTGGTGGTGATGGGGTCCCACCAAGGAACAGGGTTGCAACGTGGAGAGGTTGGAGATGTTGTACTTCGGGTGGAGTCACCTGCCCCCAAAAGATGGGTCCGAGCTCAAGAGAAGCCCAAGGGGTCTGGTTGAAGGGTTGCCCACCGCTTCTCCATCCATCCATCTCAAGGAGCATCTCCCCACAGTTTGAGGAGCATCT